ATGTTACTTTGCTCACACTCCAACAGCACGTCAAGTATTAAAAACCATTTGTCTCCATTCACTCCTATCAAACACGCTCACGCATGCCTGCTGGAAGTCCAAGCCCCTCGCACACAAAACCTCCTTTACCCCCTCCCTCCAACCTTTCCTAGGCCGACCCCTACCCCACCTTCCTTCCACTACAGACTGATACACTCTTGAAGTTATTCTGTTTCGCTCCATTCTCTCCACATGTCCGAACCACCTCAACAACCCTTCCTCAGCCCTCTGGACAACAGTTTTGGTAATCCCACACCTCCTCCTAACTTCCAAACTACGAATTCTCTGCATTATATTCACACCACACATTGCTCTCAGACATGACATCTCCACTGCCTCCAGCCTTCTCCTCGCTGCAACATTCATCACCCATGCTTCACACCCATATAAGAGCGTTGGTAAAACTATACTCTCATACATTCCCCTCTTTGCCTCCAAGGACAAAGTTTTTTGTCTCCACAGACTCCTAAGTGCACCACTCACCCTTTTCCCCTCATCTATTCTATGATTCACCTCATCTTTCATAGACCCATCCGCTGACACGTCCACTCCCAAATATCTGAATACATTCACCTCCTCCATACTCTCTCCCTCCAATCTGATATCCAATCTTTCATCACCTAATCTTTTTGTTATCCTCATAACCTTACTCTTTCCTGTATTCACTTTCAATTTTCTTCTTTTGCACACCCTACCAAATTCATCCACCAATCTCTGCAACTTCTCTTCAGAATCTCCCACGAGCACAGTGTCATCAGCAAAGAGCAACTGTGACAACTCCCACTTTATGTGTGATTCTTTATCCTTTAACTCCACGCCTCTTGCCAAGACCCTCGCATTTACTTCTCTTACAACCCCATCTATAAATATATTAAACAACCATGGTGACATTTAGATACCTAAATATTTAGATACCTAAATAATATATGATCATCCTTAATCTAGATTGAAGTACAGTAGGTTGTTCTTGTCAGATAACCTCTGTGTGGACATGAAAGTCTGCTTTCTTTTTACCCCATATACATGTACACACATTCTGTCTCTTTCTCTTTGCTAACCAGTGGCTTTATCAATACATTACAGGGACAATCAGAAGACTGAAGAGGATGAAGGTGAGGTAATCAGTCCCTTATCCTAGGAGCAAGTGTCTTGATGAATCTGAAACACAGGAGGAAGTGGGCTTATGTACTGGAGTCAGATGAGTAGCAGCAGATGAAAGCATCATCACTGGTAGGTAGGATTCCCCAGTGGAAATAAGTCATTCCCAATGGAACCATGACCTACTTCACTGAGTAATCCCACCTACCAGTGATGATGCTTTCATCTGCTGCTACTCATCAGGCTTCAGTACATAAACCCACTTTCTCCTCCTGTGTTTCAGATGAATCAAGACTACAATTCTTAATACCTGCACCTAGGTTGAGGGACTGATTACCTCATCCTCAACCTCTGCAGTCTTCTGTTTTTGTCCATGTATTGCACTGATAAAGTCACTGGTTTGCAAAACGTGTTTGTAATAAAGATTCCCAGTTGTTGCACTTGTATCTAATACCTCAACTTGTTGGTATTATTTACCATTGATGTTACAATAGTATTCTCAGTGTTTAGGCTTTCACAGAAATAGCTGGATCACCAACTTTTAGTTGTTTACTTGCTTTATAGTTTGTCTCTGGATCTATTTTTGTTAAAACTTTTTATTTGCATTAATTGGAATCTACCCAAAGGCACAGTGTTTTGTGGTCTGATGACATTTTGTAGGGGGCTACTGCCCCCTTCCTTAGCATTGCCCCCTTTCCTTGGAACTGCCCTCCTTCCTTGGTGCTTCTCTCCTTCCTTGGCATTGCCCCTGGTTTTGAAGTATGTACAGTGAAAGGAAATACAGTGGAACCTCGGCTTACAAATTTAATCCGTTCTGTGGACTTGTTTGCATCCTGATTTGTTCGTATGCTGGGTCAATTTTCCTCATTTAAATTAATTGAAATGCAATTAATTCATTCCAGCTGAATTCCTGCTCTCAGGAGGCATGACAAAATAACCTTAATATCAACTCTATGGCTTATTTATTTGTCACAATTCATCTAATATGACATAATAAACAATATAAATAACATAGAAACCTGATATATACTCTAGAATGAATAAAATATGTCGTTACATGGACGGCGGAGGGAGGAGGATTGTAGTCACGAGAGAGGTCACTATGTACAATTTTTATGTGTATCTCTTTACACTATGTACCTGGTCTGTGCTTATCAATGATTTCTTGCTTTAATTCCATGCAAATCATCCTCTTTTTCTTCTTGGCACTGTCCTTTGCACTTGCTTTCTTAGGACCAATGGTTAGAAGAAAGAAATCTGGTGAATTAACTGCACGAAACGTAAGGAAATCGCAAGAATTCCTTGGACCGCGAGGGTAGCTCGGTAAGCACATGTGCACTGGTGAGCATTGTGGTGGCATTGTCAAATTAAATTATATGCAGCACGTACATAGTATTAATGTTATTATATTGTTATTATTTATTATATGTAATTATTATTATGTATTATTATTAGTAGTACACACATATTATTATAATAATAATAATTACCATTATTATTAATTTAGGGACCTGGAGCACAGATCCAATTCCCTAGATCAAGAGCCTCTCATCATCTACTACTACTACTACTACTACTACTACTACTACTACTACTACTACTACTACTACTACTACTACTACTACTACTACTACTACTACTACTACTACTACTACTACTATTACTACTATTACTACTATTACTACTATTACTACTATTACTACTATTACTACTACTATTACTACTATTACTACTATTACTATTATTACTACTACTATTACTACTATTACTACTATTACTACTACTATTACTACTACTATTACTACTATTACTACTACTACTACTACTACTACTACTACTACTACTACTATTACTACTACTATTACTACTACTATTACTATTACTACTACTACTACTACTACTACTACTACTACTAACTACTACTAACTACTACTACTAACTACTACTACTAACTACTACTAACTACTACTAACTACTACTAACTGCTACTACTACTAACTACTACTACTCATTATTATTATAATAATACAATATAATAATAATAACAGTAAGGAGAAACTTCAAAAGGCAGCCAGTAGTTGGCACCACCATCAGCAAAACATTGGTAACCACTGCTAGTATACTTTTCGTCTGTCTAGACTTAAGTAATCTATTAGTATTAGGTTAAGTCTGCCCAAAATGCCTCAGCATGATAGAGGCGTTTTTTGCTCCAGTCATATTATATGTAAACACACATTGTAACCTTTGCAAAGGAATAAATATTTATTTATTTATTTATTTAACCCTTTGAGGGTCGACAGGCCCACTCTGAGACTCGTTCTCAGGGTCGGCCAATTTAAAAAAAAAAACAATAATTTTTTCTTATGAAAAGATAGAGAATCTTTTCCCGATCATAATGATACCAAAAGTATGAACTTTGATGGAAAACTTTGATGGAAACTTTGATGGAAAAGTTAGCGGTCTCGGCGATGTTTACGCATCAGCAATTTTGCCCACTTTGAGCCCCATTTCCGGCCAATTCCACTGTACTAGTCGACAAAAAACATGAATATTTCGCTAGAACTCCATTTTTTCTATCGAATGAGTGCAAGAAACCATCCATTTACCAATTTCAACTATCCAGTACAGTGGTCAGAATTTAGCCATTTTGCCAATTTCACACAAATTTCAAAAGATGCCAATTTCCGAATAGGGTCAAGAATAAACAAGAAAGACATTCCTGGCACTAAAATGACATTTCCTCTGTTCATTAGTCATGTCTCAAGGCCCCTCTTACATTCTTTTGCTTTCCACTTTGAATTTTTATTCTCACAAAAAATAGAAGATTTACTGTTATGCAGACTACTGCATTAGTGTAAAAAATGGTATAAATAATATTGGCGCACTTGCGAAAAAATATTAGACTCACCAGTTGATGTGTATTGGACGCTTGGCATGACTTGTTTACTTTTGAACTTTGGTAAAAATCGAACATTTCTGCTACTTTGAGCTCAATTTCATTGTAAAACCAGTCAAAATCATCTCAATTTCTGTAAAATGTGTTCCATTCTATAAAATGAGACCAGGAAAACTAGAATACAACAATAAATACCATACGAAAATACAGTGCAAAGTCGCTGTTTTATTCCAAAAAAAACGGTCGTTTTTTTTTGTTTTCTCATTATGCACTGTGTGCTGCAGGATTTTTTTATACTGTGCACACTGACCACATAGACCCATTCTTTCATATGTAGGCCTACCAGCTTTCTCCCACTAGATTTGAGGGCGCTAGAATTTAGGCGTACTAGTACGTCAAAAACCCTGGGTCATAAGCCGTACTAGTACGGCCGAAACCCTCAAAGGGTTAAGGACCCACCCTTGATGGGGAAGTTTGCATCCTGAAATTTTGTTCGTATCCAGAAATAAAAAATCGACGGTTCGTAACCTGAAAAATTTGCATGGTGGGGGCGTTCGTAAGCCAAGGTTCCACTGTACTGTACTATAGTGATACTTATAATGTTATTCTGTTAGTACCACAGTTCTAGGCCTCAGTTATAAATGTATTAACTCCTTACTTTCAGTGAAGTGTACTGAGTTTGCTGCAGAAGGGAGCTATTTATGTTGATTCTTTAAAGTGTAAAATAACTGCGCTCAGCCCAGGAAAATATTTTTTTTAAGATTAGTCCAGAGAACACTATTCTGCTATAAGTTATTTAATCATAAGTAACAGTCTAGTTAATTCTGTCAAATCTGTGTTGTCACATTCCCAGGTCCTTGTCTGAGATGGTTTTGGTAAAACTAATATTTCACAAGACAACAAAGAAAAAATATCAGTGAAAAGATGTAGTATATTTTTGTACATAATTCTCAATAAACCATTCTAGTATTTACACTGGGTGCAGAATTTTGTTTGATGGAGGAAATAACACAAGAGAATGAGACCCCAGTAGCTGGTCTACTACTTACGTTGGGCACACCAGTGGCAATTGTTGGAGCTGTTTTAGCCGGGTGAGTACGTAGAAGTTTGCACTCTGGAGTATTTGCAGCAATTCAGAATTCAAATGAACTGTTCTCATTGTTGCTTAAAAGCTTTTATAAACAAACCACATCCACCTAAGTTAGGTCATCATTTAATATGGTGTCAGTGTATGTATTACGTATTGTATTTATCCCTAAGATATTTTGTACTGATACTCCTTGAGATAACCATAAAAATGACTTTACTATTCGTCATATGCTCTTCCAAATTTTAAACAAATTATAAATCTTCAGTGCAAAATTCTGTTCTCACTCTGTACAGTCTGACTGAAAAGTGACTGAATATCAGAAACTAGCTTAAAGTACACATACATTTGGTCAAATTTATTCAGAAAGGTTTAACTGTGCTTGTGTAATGTTGTATATAACTGGGATTCAACACTTGAAAAGAGTTGAACCATAGTATTTTTTTTTTCCTCTGTATTCTCTCTGCCTCCATACACTTGAACCCATAATTGGCAAGGGTTAGTTTCCCGGAGGTCTCAGGAATCTTAAAGTTGCAGATACTAGGAAATTTCATACGTTTGAAATATTTTTTCCTGTTTTATGTTTTATATGTACTGTACATTAAATATTTTCAGAAAAAAAAAACCTTTGCCTTTTTTTGGTCATAACACTTTATATAATTATATAATCTGCTTTAACCCTTTCACTGTCCAGACCCCTGAAATTAAAAGTGCTCAGTGTCCACATTTAAATATATATATAAATATATATATATATATATATATATATATATATATATATATATATATTATATATATATATATATATAATATATATATATATATATATATATATATATATATTTCTTCTGAAATAGTAAAGAATCTTTTTCTAAAGGTAATGACACCAAAAATACAAAATTTCATGGAAACTTATGGAATTACATAGGTCTTGGTGCAGTTTACACATTGGCAGTTTCACCCAATTTGAGTCCTATTTTAAGCCAGTTCCATTGCTCAATTCAACCAAATTCTTAGCTGTATCAGTAGCATGCCTTCCATTCTATCAAGTGAGCACAAGAAACTGCCCATTTAACTAACAGAACTACCCTATAAAATGCACAGAAGTTGGTTAGTTGGCCAATTTTGTGCATAATTCAAAAAATTCTAATTTAAAAACAAAGTTCAAAATAAATACTGTAGACATTCCAGGCACTAAATTTACATTTCCTCTGTTCATTAATCATGTCTCCAGGTCTCTCCTATATTACACCTACCTTTCATTTTGAATTCATTTTCACAAAAATATCAAAGATTTACACTATTTCTTAAATCATAAAATAAAACGATTGGTCATGGTTTATGGCATACCAATAATTGAATCAGACCTAGTAAAAACCCATTAAACAGTCCATGGGGGGTCTGTTCTGTACCTGAAGTATACCCGGAGGGTTTTGGGGGTCAACGCCCCCACGGCCCAATCTGAGATCAGGCCTCGTGGTGGATCAGGGTCTGATCAACCAGGCTGTTACTGCTAGCCACACACAAACTGATGTATGAACCACAGCCCGGCTGGTCAGGTACTGACTTGAAGACAGCCAGGGGTCTATTGGTAATCCCCCTTATGTATGCTGGGAGGCAGTTGAACAGTTTTGGGCCCCTGACACTTTTTGTGTTGTCTCTCAGTGTACTCGTGGTGCCCCTGCTTTTCACTGGGGGAATGTTGCATCTTTTGCTGAGTCTTTTGCTTTCATAGGGAGTGATTTTCATGTGCAAGTTTTGTACTACTCCCTCTAGGATTTTCCAAGTATATATTATCATGTATCTAAGAACATAAGAAAGGAGGAACACTGCAGCAGACCTATTGGCCCATACTAGGCAGGTCCTTCAAAATCCATCCCACTAACAAAATATTTGCCAAACCCAGTTTTCAGTGCTACCCAAGAAATAAGCATTCCAGGGAATACAGATCAAGGGACTTCAACCAGTGGGTTTAAATTGAAAAAAAAAATACATTTAGAAAAGATATAAGAAAGCACTGGTTTGATAATAAAGTTGTTGACACTGATCCTCATCCTCGGGAATATCAGCAGAAATCTAAAAATTCTCCAAAAAATGCTGAAGGCTATGTCTATAAAATTCCTTGTAAAAAATGTGCTAAAGTTTATTATGATCAAACTTGGAAATGTCTTGAACTAAGACTACAACAACATAAATATAGAATTAGAATTGAACAAGAGTCTGTTTATTCATTTGACAGATTTTAACCATGCAATTGATTTTCAAAAGGCTGAGAGAAATAAAATAGAATCAAGCTTCCTAAAAAACAGTTTTGAAACTAATATGAATATTGGTTTAGGATTATACAAATTAGACTCATTTATAATTAATAAAATTTGGGAAGAATTTAAGATACTGTATATTCAACAAGTTAAAACCTTAAAGCTTGGGTAGAATACAGTGGTACCTCGAGTTACGAACATAATTCATTCAAGAAGGCTGTTTGAGTGCCGATACCAAACGAATTTGTTCCCATAAGGAATAATGTAAATTAGATTAGTCCATTTCAGACCCCCAAAAATACACTTACATAATTGTTCGAGTTGGGAGCTGTTCGAAACTCGAGGTACCATTGCATAAGCTATGTCTGGCAGGTCCTTGACCACCTCACCCACATCATCATTAAAGGTTCAGGAGTTGTATGTTGACCATGAAGTGTAATCTCGCCCTTATATGCCTTCTGTTAATCTTTTTATATATATATATATATAAATAAAGGTTGGATGTGAAAAGTGGGTTATAGTAAGTGTATATGCACCTAGAGAAGAGAGAAGTGTAGGGGAGAGAGAGAGATTTTGGGAAATGTTGAGTGAATGCATGGGGAGTTTTGAACCAAGTGTGAGAGTACTTGTGGTTGAGGATTTCAATGCTAAAGTGGGTAAAAATGTTGTGGAGGGAGTAGTAGGTAAATCTGGGGTGCCAGGGGTAAGTGAAAATGGGGAGCCTTTAATTGAGCTATGTGTAGAAAGAGGTTTGGTAATAAGTAATACATATTTTATGAAAAAGAGGATAAATAAATATACAAGGTATGATATAGCATGTAATGAAAGTAGTTTGTTAGATTATGTATTGGTGGATAAAAGGTTGATGGGTAGGCTCCAGGATGTACACATTTAAAGAGGGGCAACTGATATATCGGATCACTATTTAGTTGTAGCTACAGTTAGAGTAAGAGGTAGATTGGACAAGAGGAAAATGGCAACAGCAAGTAAGAAGGAGGTGAAAGTGTATAAACTAAGGGAGGAGGAAGTTCGGGTGAGATTTAAGCAACTATTGGCAGAAAGGTGGGCTGGTGCAAGTGTGAGTTGGAATAGTTTTAAAAATGCAGTATTAGAATGTGGGACAGAAGTTTGTGGTTATTGGAGGGTGGGTGCAGGAGGAAAGAGGAGTGATTGGTGGAATGGTGAAGTAAAGGGTGTGATAAAAGAAAAAACTGTAGCATATGAGAGGTTTTTACAAAGCAGAAGTGTTATAAGAAGAGTAGAGCATATGGAGAGTAAGAGAAAGGTGAAGAGAGTGGTGAGAGAGTAAAAGGAGAGCAGATGATAGAGTGGGAGAGGCACTATCAAGAAATTTTAATGAAAATAAGAAAAAAATTTAGAGTGAGTTAAACAAGTTAAGAAAGCCTAGGGAATGAATGGATTTGTCAGTTAAAAACAGAGTAGGGGAGTTAGTAGATGGGTAGATGGCAAGAATATTTTGAAGAACTTTTAAATGTCGACGATGAAAGGGAGGCGGTAATTTCATGCACTGGCCAGGGAGATATACCATCTTTTAGGAGTGAAGTAGAGCAGAATGTGAGTATGGGGGAGGTGCGTGAGGCATTACGTAGAATGAAAGGGGATAAAGCAGCTGGAACTGACGGGATCATGACAGAAATGTTAAAAGCAGGGGGATATATAGTGTTGGAGTGGTTGGTATTTTTGTTTAATAAATGTATGAAAGAGGAAGGTACCTAGGGATTCTCAGACAGCATGTATAGTCCCTTTATATAAAGGGAAGGGGGACAAAAGAGATTGTAAAAATTATAGAGGAATAAGTTTACTGAGTATACCAGGAAAAGTGTATGGTAGGGTTATTATTGAAAGAATTAGAGGTAAGACAGAATGTAGGATTGCGGATGAGCAAGGAGGCTTTAGAGTGGGTAGGGGATGTGTAGATCAAGTGTTTACATTGAAGCATATATGTGAACAGTATTTAGATTTATGGATTTAGAAAAGGCATATGATAGAGTGGATAGGGGAGCAATGTGGCAGATGTTGCAAGTATATGGAATAGGTGGTAAGTTACTAAATGCTGTAAAGAGTTTTTATGAGGATAGTGAGGCTCAGGTTAGGGTGTGTAGAAGAGAGGGAGACTACTTCCCGGTAAAAGTAGGTCTTAGACGGGGATGTGTAATGTCACCATGGATGTTTAATATACAGTGGACCCCCGCATAACGATCACCTCCGAATGCGACCAATTATGTAAGTGTATTTATGTAAGTGCGTTTGTACGTGTATGTTTGGGGGTCTGAAATGGACTAATCTACTTCACAATATTCCTTATGGGAACAAATTCGGTCAGTACTGGCACCTGAACATACTTCTGGAGTGAAAAAATATCGTTAACCGGGGGTCCACTGTATTTATAGATGGGGTTGCAAAAGAAGTAAATGCTAGGGTGTGGGGGAGAGGGGTGGGATTAAATTATGGGGAATCAAATACAAAATGGGAATTGACACAGTTACTTTTTGCTGATGATAATGTACTTATGGGAGATTCTAAAGAAAAATTGCAAAGGTTAGTGGACAAGTTTGGGAGTGTGTAAAGGTAGAAAGTTGAAAGTGAACATAGAAAAGAGTAAGGTGATGAGGGTATCAAATGATTTAGATAAAGAAAAATTGGATATCAAATTGGGGAGGAGGAGTATGGAAGAAGTGAATGTTTTCAGATACTGTATTTGGGAGTTGAAGTGTCAGTGGAT